CAACAACAACAACAACAACAACAACAACAACAACAACACCAGCAACAGCAACAGCAACAGCAACAGCAACAGCAACAGCAACAGCAACAGCAGCAGCAACAGCAACAGCAACAGCAACAGCAACAGTAGCAACAGCAGCAACAACAACACCAACACCATCACCATCATCAACACTCTAATAGCGACAAGAGCAAGCCACAGCCACTACCATCACCACCACAACCACCACAACCACCGCAACCACCACACCCACGACAACCACCGCAATCAGCGCAACCAAGGCAACCTCCGCAATCAAGGCAATCACCGCAACCTCCACAACCACAGCAACCACAAGAACCACAACGACCACCACCACCACCACCACCATCACCACCACCACAACCACACCCAAAGTAACGGCAGCAGTTGCAAGAGCAAGAACTACAAGAACGATCCTGTTCGACAACAAGCTGTAGCACGAACTCACAACCCTTCTGCACGAAACTGAAACTCAACATCCAGGCTGGCACATCTCTCGTCATCCTTTCACAAAGGACAGGGCAGAAGCCATCTGCCAGATTCAAAGCCTGGACCCTCGAACGTGGATGCTAAAGCCCGCAGCAAAGGAATCTCATGTCCGTTGCTGCCCTCCACCACATTGGACATGAGCTCAAGACCACTAATTAGGGATCCTGAAGTCTTGGATGCCGCAACTCCAAACCCTAATGTAACTTCCTGAGCCCGAATTTCCAACAGCCCCTGTGTTCCCACTGCAAGGGGCTGTGCGACTCGCCGCCCCGCTTGTTGCAGAGCCACGGCCTCCGCAGACGCTTCGACGAAACCAAGAACAGTGTGTCTGACTGCAACCGTTACACCAGTGGCAGCAGGTAGGGTCTTCTGGAGGCTTGTTTTGTGTCCCCATGGTTGAGTGCAGAGGTGGTTGGAGTCTCAACATCTCCGGGATGGTACTGTCGGCTTTGCAGTCTTTAAAGGTTTTACAAGCATTGTGGCATGTGGCTCGCGGATGAGGACGCATGGCAGTGGGAGGAGGAAGGCACCGTACGGGGGCTATACAGGAACAATCGGGCTTTGTTCAGACGTTCGCAATCAAGCTTGTTTTTCACGGTTCGTGACCTTGATGCTCAACACCCCTGCGCCTTTAAATTCAACAGAATACGTGGCTGGAAACTACATGATTTAGCTTCTCTGAAATTTCGGAGAACCGACAGAATCCGACAGAACGCATCACTCATTGCACCCTTAAGCCCCGGTGCTTCCTCAAAACCTACATGGGTAGCCCTGCGAAGTGTGCGAAGATACGCACCTGCTCCACCAATCGCTTCCGCTCCAGCGTCAGCTGCTGTTCTAGTCCTACGAGCTGAGTATTTGGGTAGTTGCTGGAGACCTGGTGTCGTCACGAAAAAGATGTGCAATTGAGAAACGAACGGCGTAGTTCATAAATGAGTGTGTCAGTGTCGGTGTCGTTGTGGCTGTGGCTGTGAATGCGCTGGTGTGTGTGGTTGCGGTTGTGGTTGTGCTTGTTGTTGTTTTGCTGTGGGAGCGATAGTGGTTCTGGTTGTTGCTGTCGTCGTTGTTGTTGTTGCTGCTGCTGCTGTTGTTGCTGTTGCTGTTGCTGTTGCTGCTGTTGTTGTTGTTGTCCTTGCTCTTGCTGGTGCTGCAGTTGTCGTGGTTCATGGCTGTGGTTATAGTTGTTGATGTTGGTGCTATTGCTGCTGCTGCTGCTACTGCTGCTGCTGCTGCTGCTGCTAGTGTTGTTGCTGTTGTCGTGGATGTTGTTATTGTGACTGTGGTTGTGGTTGTTGTTGTTGCTGCTGTTGTTGCTGTTGCTGCTGTTGCTGTGGTTGTTTTTATTATTGTTGTTGTTGTTGCTGCTGGTGGTGGTGGTGGTGGCGGCGGTGGTGGTGTTGGTGTTCGTGTTGATGTTGGTGTTGGTGTTGGCGTTGGCGTTGGTGTTGGTGTCGGTGTTGGTGTTGGTGTTGGTGTTGTTGGTGGTGGTGGTGGTGGTGGTAATGGTCGTAACTGTTCCTGTTGTTGTTGGTGGTGTTGTTGGTGTTGTTGCTGATGTTGTTTGTGTTGTTATTTTGATGGCGTTTTGTGTCGTTGCTGTTGTTGCTGTTGTTGCTGTTGTTGCTGTTGTTGCGGGTGTTGCTGTTGCTGTTGCTGTTGCTGCTGCTCTTGCTG